GTATATACCTATATCTATATATTTGTGTGTGTGTGTGTGTGTGTGTGTGTGTGTGTGTTTGTATGTGTGTGATTGTATATGTATGTAGAAGTATGCATATGTAAATATTGATGTATATATGTATACGTACATACATGCGTACTGACATGCGTACCTATATATATATGCGTGTGTGTGTGTGTGTATGTGTGTGTTTGTTGGTGTGGTGCTCTTTAAGTATGCCCGTGCGTTTGTGTCTGTATCTGTGTCTGTGTCTGTGTGTGTTTTTAGTGGGTGGGCAGATGGGTGTGTGTTTGTGTGGGTGGGCAGATGGGTGTGTGTTTGTGTGGGTGGGCAGATGGGTGTGTGTTTGTGTGGCTGCGTGGGCAGATGGGTGTGTTTCTGGTGCTTGTACGGTGCATATATTGATATATGTATAATTTTCGAAATACATAGACTCATTTTATACACAAGAATGATGGATATATATACAGATATGTGCTGGTAGGTCCGTGATGGTGCTCAGATAACCTTGACAATAGAGTATATACTATTTATCGCACTGCACACATCATGGGTTCGTGTGCAAAACATGAGTTGTTGTACTATAGCAATATGTATATGTATCTACGTATGTACCGTATCTTCGTATACCGTATACAACCACTGTGGTATGGCGAGATTGTTTGAATTCATCGTACGGTTTCTTTGTTAATAGAACACATGCTATCTGAGGGATACAATCTGGCTCAGAACATAAGACGGTGATACATTATACAGGGGGAGCAGTCTTGGCCCCAATAGCATACTAGCCACTCGCAAAGCGAGCATCGCTGGGCTGTATAGATAGACGCCTACTGTTTAGCCTGTCTGTCTTAGCCACATCCCACTTCTCCTTCACCGTGCGTTTGTGCTGATCATGCCCATTCTCGAAGGGTGAAGCGTGGCGTGCGTTCGATAGTATTGCCATGCATTCCTATTCTTTCTTGCGCATGACCTACTTGAGAAGTGGTCCTGCGCGGAGACCTGGAGAGCCGACTGTACATCACCGATGTGGGAAGCCCTTCCCCATGCCCATAACATCAATCTAAGAGTGTTTGTGAGCACATCCGTTCTATATGGGATACCAAATAATCAGACTCGCTGGAGGCATTGTTTGGCATTGATGTACACATTCGGTGCATCGCGATCATACTCGAGCTAGTCCATGGATACGCCGGGTAAACAGTGGAATCGGCTGCTCTTGCATCATGCATGTGTATATCTACCCCACTCGCTATCACTGCTGATGATCGTGTTTGCGGCGCCCGTGGTTAGCCGCCCTATCGTGATACACCGCCTGAGCTGTGTCTTGTTGCAGTTCCCATTCCTTGGCCAGTTCGAGTGTCCTGGTATCATTCATGTACTCTGTGTGGAAGAACTCGTGGTCGGGAGCCTTGTACTTGTATAGCCAGTCTGCATCGTGGCAAGATATCAAGAAAATATGTATTGGCGGAACATTGTTAAATTTTCCGTCAGCCCGTGATATGGATGCTTGTTGGTTACTGGGTGGTATGTGAGCGCGTATAAATTCTCTTTGTGAGATTTTAGGTGAGAGTTCGGTACTTTAGCAAACGCGTGTATCGATCCTCACGCGCAAACTAGGAATCTATTTTGGCTTGTAAACAGATGCGATAGCGTATATCCACAATTGGGAACGAAGGGTGTGTCCCATACACCAGTCTGTTGCAGATGAAATGGGTCGCTAGCGACAGACAACCCTTTGATTGACATGCATATACGTAGGCTCTGCACATATCATCTGTCAGCCAGTTTGAGTATTAAGACCGAACGTTCAGAACAAATCATTTTGCACAAGACATACAACCGTCTCAATTGGTCGCGAAATCGAAACAACTGTATTTGGCCACACCTTTCATGCCTGTCTTTTGCCTGTCCGGGAACACCTTGTTGAGATATCTTTTGGTGCGCCGCTTGCACATGCCATACACAGACCCGAATTTGCAGGCACACTGTACACGAAGCCAACAAGACGCATGTCAAAGGTCGTGTTGTGAGCTTGCGCTGGTTATTGTACATGGGGCTATCCGTTAGGTGGACTATTAAAAAGAGCGAGTTAGCCAACAAGATGCATGTCCAAGGTCGTGTTGTGAGCTTGCGCTGGTTATTGTACATGGGGCTATCCGCTAGGTGGACTATTAAAAAGAGCGAGATAGCCAACAAGATGCATGTCAAAGGTCGTGTTGTGAGCTTGCGCTGGTTATTGTACATGGGGCTATCCGTTAGGTGGACTATTAAAAAGAGCGAGTTAGCCAACAAGATGCATGTCCAAGGTCGTGTTGTGAGCTTGCGCTGGTTATTGTACATCGGGTTATCCGTTAGGTGGACTAATTAAAAGAGCGAATTGTTATCAGTGCGTTTGGATGGATGGAAGCGTGGTCCAACCGCCAGCGAAGATGAGAGTGTGTGGGATGTGTCTTCAAACCGAATAAGATTCATCGAATCCAGTGTGTGTATCAGTGGCTACAGTTCTGAATACTCGTGAGAGTCTCCCAGGTGTGGCAAGGGTATTGACCAATGGCTGTTCCTGTGGCGGACGGACATACCACATCGTAACCGTTCGCGTCAAACAGTCGTGTCCTGAATTTCACGTGCAGTGGTTTCCTTCCGTAGGGTCGATTGGGGCACATCAACTGTAGATAGATGGTACGGTAATATAAATGTAAGCCAATTGACCACATCACGATTATGTAAAGACTCAGAGTGCTAATGCAAACTATGGGTTGCCAGATCAGAAGCGAGAAACGATACTCGTCCTTCGTTTACCTCAGGAGTGATGGTGTGCAAACAAAGCACTTTGAGATTTAGTATTAATAAGCTCGGTCCGTGGTTAAAGGTTCGAGTTGCATTGATATTAACTGTGACACGAAAGCACAACAGAGTGCGAGGCATGTCTACCATTGAGCAATATACGTAATTCTGATGCCATATCTATGTACGAAAAGATTTGAAACATCGACCCTGCTAGGGATCGAGATGATGGATATGTATGCTTGTGAAATATTGAGGTGTGCAAAATACGCTGTGCACGATTACAAATGTGTATGCGATGCGAGTACATTGAATGGTATACATGATAAACAATGAGAAAGAGCAACTATATA